CATTTTTTAGATGTGTCTCTTGTAGACAATATATTGATGGGCTTTGCTTTTTTATCCATTCTGATACTCTTTTTCTCTTGATTAGTACATTTAATCCAATCACATTAAGTGTAATATTGTCAAGCTAGGTTTTATTTTTGCCATTTTTCCATGTTTCTTTGTTATTTCTAGTTACAATGATCCGTTTACTTTCCTTTGGTGTCTCCATGTGAAGGACTTCATTTAAAATTTCTTGCTGTTTTGGTCTTGTTTTCACAAATACTTTTAAGCTCTTTCTTTTCTGCAAAGGATCTAATTTCTCCTTCCTATTTGATGGAGAGCTTTGCTGGGTATAGGAGCGTTGGCTGGCAATTGTTTTCTTTCAACTTTCTGTATATGCCATCCCACTATCTTCTAGCTTGCAAGGTTTCTGCTGAGAAATCTGAACTTAATCTAATTCTTTCCTCTTTGTAGACAACTCTTTGTTTTTCTCATGCTTCCTTTAGCATTCTATCCTTTTCTTTTAATTTGGAGAATGTGACTATGTCTTGATCTTTTTCTTTTGGGGTCTAGTTTAGTTTATTTGGTGTTCATTGTGCTTCTTGAATGTGGATTTTCTCATTCTTCAAAGTACCAGGGAAATAGTGTGCTCCTCGTTCTTCCATAATTTTCTCAGTGACTTCCCTGTTACTCCCATGTTCTGGAATTCCAACCATAGTTATGTGTTGATCCTTTTGATGTCATCCTAAGTGATTCTAATGCTTTCTTCTTCTTTTTTTTTCTTTTTACGTCTCACCTCTAATTTTTCTTCTAGTATGCTTCCAGTGAGGCTTTTGTCTTCCAGCTCCCTGATACTCTGTTTCATCTCTTCAGCTCTACTTTTTTGTCCCACCAGGGAGTTGGACACTTCTGCCATATATTCCAGGTTGCAGTTTCATGCTTCTCTGTTATTTCCAGTACTGTGTGGGTTGTACCCTGTCTTGTGATAATATTTTAATTTCTTATACCTCTTTATCTATACTATCAATTCTTTCTTCAATTTTTTTGCATTTTCTTCCATAGCTGTTCAAGTTGCTCCTCATCAGTTTGTTTTATCTGGATTTTATCTGGATTGTTTCTTCCATCATTTGCATCTTCTTCTGTAGCTGTTCAAATAATTCCACATCAACATATTTCTTCTGGTTCCCTCTATCTGGGGTATTTATTGAGCCTGACATTTTAGGAGGAGGTTTATTTTGTTTTTCATGATGACTGAGGCAGACTGCTGCTTTCTTGACATTATGTGAGTCTTTCCTTAGTGGATACTAGGTTGCTGTAACTATATAATGACCCAGGTTTGAGCAATGTTTTGTCTAGGACCTGTATATTGGTGTTCCCCTCTTAGGAAGAACAGTCAACCAGGAGCGGAATGACAGTTACCCTCCTGAAACCATGCCTCCACCCAGTCTCTTCAAATTGACCTTATGAAATTCCACATGATGTAGCTAGACAGCAGTGTTTCACCCAAAGCACCTGTGATATTGGTGCTCCTGGCCCTGGACAGCAGGAGCAGCAGCTGGGCAGTCTCCAGGCAGGGGTGCAGTGGGGTCTCCAGGTAGTGGGGGCAGTGGTCTAGTGCTCTGGGCAGGACTGTGGTCTAAAACTGCAGCCCCTCAATCTGGCAGGCAGTGGTCTGCCACAGGCCAGAAGGGAGTGTGCCTGGGCTTGGCTGCAGCCTTTAGTAGATGCTGGGGAAGCAATGGTTGGAAGACATTCCTGGGCCAGCCATGCCACACAGGCCTTGGCACCTTGCAGCAGAGCCAAGGTAAGGTTCCCCAAGAGCGAGTCTCGCATGAGGAGCAGGTCTCATATGAGAAGGGGGTCATGTGTGAGGAGCAGGTCTCGCATGAGGGGCAGGTCTCGAGAGAGGAACCAGTGTTTTTTGTTTTGTTTTGTTTTTTTAGATTTTAATGAAAGTTTATAAAGAACTTGGATTTTCCATTCATTCATTGTTTTACCTTTCCCTCCCTGTCCTCCCTCCTCCACAGTTCACTTTTATCTTGGAGGGGGAAAAAGTTCTTTCTTTGTTATACAGCCCTCCCCTGAAAATACCACTTGACCCAGCAATTCCACTACTGGGAATATACCCTAAAGAAACCAGAACTGCCACCCAAGCAGATATATGCACACTCATGTTTATGCAGCCTTGTTTACAGTAGCAAAAAGCTGGAAACAACCTAAGTGTTCATCAATAAATGAATGGATAGTGAAACTGTGGTATAGTCACACAATGGAATATTATGCAGCACTGAAAAACAAAGAACTCATGAAATATTACACAAAGTGGGTAACCATGGAGGATACTATGCTTTTTGATACAGTCACTGTGTACCCCTTCCATCTTCTTTTGGTGCCTCCTTCATCATTTAAGATTTTGTCAGTACCATCTTCCTGTGCTGACACTTGAGGCTTGACTTGTTTCTTTAGATTTTCTAACTTGAGAAATTTTGTGCAAGTTCTTCCAGTTTGGTTTTTTTCTTTTTTCCAGCTCCAGCTCTTCGCATGTTCCATTATATTCCTTTGCCTTATCTTCCTTTGCTGCCCTATGAAGTATTGTATTCATCTCTTTTTGTTTAGCACTTAATCCAAGAATTTGGAAGGCAGCTATCTGGCCAACTGACTGGAAGAAATCCATATTTGTTCCTATTCCCAAAAATGGTGATCCAACAGAATGTGAAAATTATCAAATGTCACTAAAATCTTCAAAATTATTGAAATATTGCTAGAATAATATAGTGTCAACAGAGAGCTTCCAGTAATGTAACCTGAATTTTAAGAGGCCGTGGCACCAAGGATATTATTGCTGATGTCAGATGGATCTTGCTTGAAAGCAGAGCGTAAGAGAAGGATGTTATATGTGCTTTATTGACTATGCAAAGGCATTTGACTGTGTAGATGACAACAAATGTTGGCTAACATTGAGAAGAAGTAGGAATTCCAGAACACATAACTGTGTTCCTGCAAAACCTGCAGCTAGACAAAGAGGCTATTGTCCAAACAGAGCAGGGAAACTCTACAAGGTTTAAAATCAAGAAAGGTGTTAATCAGGGCTGTATCTTTTCTCTATATCTATTCAATGCTGAGCAAATAATTTGAGAAACGGGACTATATAAAGAAGAAGTGGCATCAGGATTGGAGAAAGTCTCATCAATAACCTGTGTTAGAGGAAGCTCTGGTAGCCTAGTGGCAAGAAGCTTGTGCTACAATCACAAAGGCAGATGGTTCGAATCCATCAGATGCTCTGCTGGAGAAGGAGGGGCAATCTCTTCCTGTGCCAGTCAGATCTGACTTGACAGTACACAAAAAGGAAACAAAACATGAAACAAATCAACGTATATGAACTTTGTAAACAAATCCAGTATAAAATGAAAAAAAATTTTAAAAAGACGAAAAACAATAATCTGTGTTATAGAGGTGACATGCTTTTTTGCAGAAAGTAAAGGGAACTTGAAACAGTTGCTGCAAAAGAGCAAAGATAAATAATATCAATATTAACAATACCAATATTAATACTATCAATATGAATTGCATCTCAATATTAAGAAAACAAAAATCCTCCCCACTGCATCAATAGACAACATCATGACAGATGGAGAAAAGGTGTAAGTTGTCAATGATTTCATCTTTAGGAACCACAGTCCACATGTTGGTACCAGCACTCAAGAAATCCAAAGATGCATTGCCTTGGGGAAATGTGTTGTCAAGGACCTCTTCAAAGTCCTACAGAATAATAATGTCAGCTTCACGATTGAGACCATGGTCTTCTCACTTATTTGCTCTGCATCTGAAAGTTGACATAACAAGAATTGATGCCTTTGTGTTATGGTGTTAAGAGTACAAATATCCCATGGGCATTCAGAGAACAAATGATGTAATTTAAAGAAAGTGAAACCAGAATGTTCTTTGGAGGCAAGAATGGTGATATTTTTTTCTCACATACTTTGGGCATGTTGTTAGAACAGTTCTTGGAGAAAGACATCGTGCTTGGAAAGGGGGAGGTCAGCAAAGGAAGGGAGACTTTCAACAAGATGGATTGACACAGTGACCGTATCAATGGGCTCAAGTCAATCAGAGGTGGTGAGGATGGCACAGGATAAGGAAAGGGTCAGCTTTGTTGCTCACAGGGTCATGCTGAGCTGTGGTCTGCGGGACAGCACCTAAAAACACCAACAACAACTGAATTCATGGGGTAAGTTGGGTCAACAATGACTGGTACCATCACAAAAGGAGACCCTGGCTAATGGTTCCTGCTGAAAATACAGCATTGCCTGTGACTTATTCTTGTCAAACACGGAATAGGAATTTGCACATGAATTTACAGGACACAGTGTGGAAGCAAGGGAGGCAGAAAGGAATACATAAACGTTGCTGAGGGTTGTGGTCGGTTAAATGTAGACTGTAGGCAACTCTTCATAACAATCTGGGCTCTTCTAGAAAATACATCTCAAGGAAAAAAATCACTAACCCGTAAGGGAACCTTGGGTAGTCATTCAAAAAAGACTTGAGACAAGCCAACCAGCCGCAACATAGGGATATTATTTGGAAACTGTTCTGAAGTCATTTTAAAGTAAAGCATTGGGTGGCCGCTAACTCTGAATCCTTCTCGGCTATTTACTAATATTAACGGTCATTTTTCTAGGTATGAAGAAGGTATCTCTGCCATGTCGGTCTTTGTCTTTGTATTGTCTCTAGAGACCTACAGAAATATTCAGATGAAATGATGTGATGTCTGGTCTCTGCTTCAGAAAAATCTAGGTTGGAGGGAAAACAGGAAGGGGGCTAGAGGAAGTAAGACCGCCCACAATTGGATAACCTAACGTGGTAGGTATGTGGGGATTTATTAATTATTCTGTCTACCTCTGGGTGTTTGAATTTTTCAGTAATAAATGTCTAAATAAAACCTTGATAAAAAATAGATGAGACTATGCTCACGGCTGACATCCGGGGGAAGAGAGACGTCAAGGAAACAATGGGTCTCTTACCTTTTCATTAACTGGAGAAAGATTCTTCTTGGTAACCAGTACACAAAAGTGTCAAGGACAATCTTGAAGTAGTTCAGGGACACGTAGCCACTGTTGCAGGTGTCCCCAGCACTCAGAGCCTTCTCAATCCTGTGGTGGGACTTCAAAAGCTGGGGACGAAGCGGAAAGAGAGCGGGGGCTCATGAAAATCACCGCACAGACCTAGGCAGTCAGTTCACTTCTACAAAAACAGAAAAAAAACCTCTCCAAAAACTGATCAAAAAGGTGACTGTGGCCCGAACCTCACTTTAAATGTTTAATTGATGAGCTCACTACAAAACACCCGCCCCGTCAGACTCAGCTGACAAGGCAGGCAAGTTAAGCCAGGAAAAAAACAACCAGCACTTGGAATAGTTCTACCTCGCATTCCTGAGCTAAAAATACTTGGTGGATCTGCCAGTTTGATACATCTTTCTTAATATTCTTTCAAGCCCTCCCCGCTGTGTGCAGTGCTGTGCGCCTCTGCATTAAGTCAGGTCAATCAAACAACAAAGTTGGCGACATTTTATTAAAAAACACAAGCAGCTGTTAGTGTAAGGGGAAAACAGTATTAACATAAAGAGTGTATAAACACGGTATGGGCGGCACATCCCGAAATTGCCCGTGCTTTTCATTTTCTTTCTTTTTAATGGGGGATTACAAAGAACCTGGTGGAGGGGGCTTTCCTTCTGGGACTTGAGAATCGCTGTAAAGTAGGTTAGCCGCTGGCTTTCACAGGATTCATAAAAACACGATGAAGATTGGTTTTGTGCCTAAAGATTTTCCTGTGTTTATTAGTGAGTAATGATGAGATTCGCCAATATTTTCCTCCCTCCCCCACGTTCATTGATTCAGTGTTTCCTGATTGCTGGGGCGAGAATGAAATAACCATCAACTTGGTGTAAAAGGCGATTTTTCGGGGGGGTAGAAAATAGACAGTGATGGTGGTGTTGTGGTTATGTTCTGCTCAGATGACTACAGCTCACAGCGACCCTATGGCCTGTACAAGGTAAGTATCTTTAATGCCATTGTCTTGTACACTCGGAGGGGCTAAAATGGCAAATGTTTTGTTACATACGGATGCTACCATGATAAAAACGTGAAAGCTGGAACATGCTTATATGTAACACAAAAGTATTGCTCATAAAGAGATAAGAAGAGATGCCTAAGGGAGCTCTGGTGGCCTAGTGGCAAGAAGCTGCACTGCAATCCCAGAGATGTGCTGCTCTGCAGGAGAACGAGGGGCAATCTCCTCCTGTACCAGTCAGATCTGATTTGACGGTTCACACACAAAAATAATAAAATTAAATTTAAAAAAAGAGATGCCTCCTGCTCCCCCCATCCCCTCGGAGTGTATGGGAATGCTAGAAATCTAAGCAGAAGAAAAGGGGCTCTGGTGGCCTAGTGGTAAAGAAACAGTGCTGCAACCCCAAAGGCACGTGGCTCAAACCCACCAGCTGCCTCTGAGAACCTTCTGGAGGGTCAGTCAAGAGTGAGCTATGAGTCAGTTCTGACTCGATGGCACACAACACCACCACCAACAGCAACGACAAAAAGAACTTTAAATATGTTTAGAAAGTCACATACTCAAGCTGCTTGAGAAATTGTATGTGATTAACCTCAGATGCCACTAGGTGTGCCTGTCTGTCTTCTAAGGAATGCTGGTGGTGTAGCAGGTTAAGTGTTGATGGCTAATTGAGGTCTACAGTTTGAATTCACCAGCTGCTTCTCTGGAGAAAGGTGGGCAGGCTCCTGGCGGGTTCTCCAGCCTGGGAAATGCAATGGAGGGCTGCTGAGGGGCTCCCAGTTTGGTCCGATGGGGAAGAAAAGCACTGAGCCCCCAATGGGCAGCGCTGCACTTCTCCACGGATTCTCCTGGCTGGGAGCGTCCAGCAGCAGACCAGCAGGCCCGTCTCCCAGGGCGCCGTGGCTGGGGTCAGAACTTCCAAGCTCTCTCCAGCGCGTGGAGTGCTTCAGCATCATTCGCCCCACCCAGGAACCGCATGTGCATTTTCAGATGAAGACAGTCCATTTGCAAAAAAGCCTGTGTCCAGTCGGTCTTGGGGTGAGGTCAGCTGTTGGTTGTAGGTTTTTTTTTCTCTCTCTCAGATGAAATCAGATGTCTTCAGTAAAAGACCCAGAAGGTGAGACAGAACAGTATCACTGTGCCGTGTGTGACTGAGAGGAGCTGTCATGTCGTCTTTACAAGGAAAGGGAGCCCTGGTGTCACTGAGGAAGGATGGGCAGTCTGCTCCTGGACAGCCCCCCGAGACCAAGGGGGTGATCAGGGGACACAGACATCACTCAAGAGCAGAGGGCTGTGCTCTGCTTGGCTCCTAGATTTCAAGTCTTCATAAGAAGGCAGCACTTCAGTGCCGTATATAAAAGGAGCAAGATTCTTAGAAGACTCACTAGCCATTGTTTTTCACGTACATAGCTTTTCAAAAACTGCCAAGAGAATCATATAAACATATAATTTTACAAAAATAGTATCATACGATACTTTCAGGTTTGACAAACCCCTTTTTCTTCTAACAACATGTCTTGGACATACTTCCGTAAGAATTAGACCCTGTCTACATCATCCTTTGAAAACGCTGCCTGGTATGCCTTCATATTCTTGATGGACCTGGAATGAGTGTGTCTCTTCTCCTGTTTATACACATCATATTTATAAATGTGTCCCTGATCCTCAAAATAAATGATGCTCCTCTTCTTACGTGCGACGACAGACTGCCAGAAGAGTAAACAGACCAGCTCTGGAAGGAAGACTGAATGCTCCTGAGAGGAAAGCATGGTGGGGCCTTATCTCACACGCTTGGGCCACGTTAGCAGGAGGAACCAGACTCTGGAGAAAGACACCATGCTCAGTACGGCAGAGGGTCAGCAGCTGGAGGAAGCCCCTCGGCGAGGTGGAACGACACTGTGACCCCAGCCACATGCCCAGCACGGCAGCGAGCGTGCAGGGTGCAGGGCTGCACAGGGGACCACGCACGTGCACGCCTGTTTTTGGGTTGGAATTGACTTCCTGGCACCTCGCAACAATCCCTCTTGTTCCTTTCTGTCAGCACTGGGAAACTTCTCCTCTTACCCACTGGCAAGAAGCTGCGCTCCAGTCTCAAAGGCATGCAGTTCGAGGCCACCAGCCACTTCTCAGGGGAGAGACGGGCAGTCTTCTGTGCCTGGAAAACCGGCTGGAGGGTCAGCCGGGTTGGTTCTTCCTCGATGGTAAACAACATGTGCACTTACTTGCTGAACATTCTGCTCCCTGAAACAAGCTTTGAGGACTTTACCCGGGAGGACAGGCTGTCTCTTTTGGTCACTACTAACTACATCTTGGTGGCAATCAGGCAAGGGACGTTTCTGGGTCTTTTTCATTGTGTGTTACTGTTCTTTTTGCCCTTCAAAGGGGGGTGGGCGGTCGTGACCCTTAGAGTAAGGGTAAGTAAGGGTGGGTGGAGCCTGCTCCAGGCGCTAGCTTAAAATCCTATAGGATTTTAATTGTTTTTAATTAGCCTTTAATTGTTTTCAGTGGAACATTTTTTTTATTGCAGGAGCAGCATCCACTTCTGAAATGGCTTGCCTCTGGAAACTCTATGTACGAACAGTGCTCAGGCCTTTTGTTCATAGGGTCGCTATGAGTCGTCTACGATTCGACAGCATCAACAACAAACAGCAACTTTGGGGTTTTTTTATTAATTTTAATGAACATTTACAGAGATTTTGGATTTCCATTCATTCACTGTTGCACTTTTCTCCCTGCTCACTCCTCTCCCGCCCAGTTCACTCCTCTCTTTGAAAGGCAAAAGAAAAACTCCTTCATTGGTGTACAATGCGCTCCCCACCCCCACCCCCGAGTGCACTCCACTGTGTAACCGTAATTCTGGACTCTTGTGATAACCATAATACCCTATCATATATCGCTTTTAAACTGTTCTCTCTCGCTCTCATCTGTTTCAATGCAGTATACATAATTTATCCAGTTTTTCTCGGTCTTACCCCAACCCTGATGTCAGTCCCACCCTTGTGTGTCCACTTGCTGTACAAAGGTAACTCGTGGTCACTGTGAAGCTGAACACTGTGACACTAATGTGTTAAATGCAAGAGTGGTTACCCATGGCGGACAGTGTTTGGTGGAGCTCCCCGATTAAAACAAGCTTGGAAGCAGGAGTGGCATCCACTTTTGAAAGAGCTTGTCTCTAGAAACCCTATGAACCTGGAGAGAGGACGAAAGTCACACAGGTGTCCAGGACGTTCGTTCATAGGGTCGCTATGAGAAAGTCGCCTACAACTCGAGGGCACTTAACAACAACAGCCCCCTCGGGCAGGGCACTCTGGGGCCTGGTGTTACTGATAAAGAGCTGTACTCCCAAACGCGGCTACTCCTCAAGAGAAGGACGGACAGTCCCCTCCCGTGGCGCTGACCACCTGCCGAGGGTCAGCCAAGTCAGTTCTAACTCACAGCCATCAGTCCACGCGCTGTGGAGTCTTCGCCCACCCTGCGGCATGCCGTCTAAGGCCAGGGGTCAATTCTGCCCATCAGTCACCCTTCAGGACTGCCCCTCGGTGTGCCCAAGGTTGTGCATCTTTACAGAAGCAGACTAGGCAGCTTTCCCTGGGTGGGGGGGGGGAGGCTGATGTGCGTGAACCGCTGGCTCTCCTGTGGGTGCGTCCTGCTGCCCAGCTCCCTCCGCGTGCCGGGGGTTTTCTCCAGCTGCCCCGTTTTCTGGAAGTCCTTCCCGTAAAGATGCTCTCCTGTGATGGAGAAGCAGTAACCACGGTGCACAGCGGTCTTCAGGTTCTCGGGAGGATGGCAGTGTGGCGCTCAGAGCCTGGACTCTGGAGCTGAGCTCCCTGGGCTGAAGCCAGGACTGGAACCCAGGGTAGATGTGAGTAAGCCATGTCACCTCCTCCTGTCTCAGTTTCCCCTTTAAAACTGTGTTAAAGGAGAGGGAACCTGAAGGCATCTCCATACTGGGAGCCTGGCACAGAGGAAGCCCCAGCAAACAGTTCTTCAGGAAGCCCCTCGTCTAGTGGTCAATCCAAGACAATCCCATGAAGCGCGTTTACTGGAAAACACACTGAACGTATTCTGTGTATCACGCAGCCAACCGGACCCTTCTTTATGAGTGAAGGGAGGCCTGGAATTACGGCCGCCAAGTGCTACTTTGCTTATTTCTGTGCGATTCCAGTCATTTCTTACTCTCTCCTCTTCTTACACACTCTCCTAGGAGCCATGCACCCTTTGGGAAAACAAGTCTTAACAATAATAGCACATAAGTTTTGCCAATTTACCAGCCATGCGTTCAAGTGATCACTTCCCTAACAGCCTCAGCAATATATCCTTGGTATCCCTCCAACCCCTAGACATTTTTTTCTACTAAAAATGTCTAGTAAGACTAACAGTCTGCTGGAGATGTAGGTATATTGTTGTTTTTATGTGCCATCGAGTCAACTGAGATGTGACCCTATGAACAATAACCCTGAAGCCTGCTTTATCCCGAACCAATCTCACTATCTCCTACACAGCTACTCCCATTTCCCCATCACTGTGTCAATCTATCTCATCCAGAGTCTTTCCTGTGCTGTCCCTCTATCCTTCCAAGCATGATATCCTTCTCCAAGAGCTGGTCTTTCCTGGCAACAATGCCCAAAGCATATAAGACTAAATTTCAAAATCCTTGCCTCTGAGGAGCAGCTTGGTTTCACCCTCTCCAAGACAAACTTGTTTGTTTTCTTGGAAGTCATAGTATATTCAAGACTCTTCTCCAGCTCCATGACTCAAAGGCCTCTACTCTTCTCTTGCCATCCTTAGTCAATGTCAGGCTCTTGTAGGCACAGCAAGTAATTATGAAGCCATGGCCTGGGTCAGGCACACTTTGAACAGTAGTATTATTTAGGCATTTATATCACAAATATCTTTCCAAATTTGTTATTGTGGGTACAAAGTTTACTGCACAAAGAAACAATTTCCATAAAGCTTTTTCCATTTCTGGTGGTCATTTGTCAGGCGTCTCTTCATGGCTTCTAGACACTCCTATTCTTTGCATCCACTCGGAACCAGCTCAGAGCTTGACGTGCACTGGGCTTCCGAGGCTGTAAATCGCACAGGAGGAGACAGCCCCTCCTCTGTCTCGGAGCCAGAGCTGCTGGTGCATTGCAGAAGTTCAAGGGCCCCACCTTGGCTTAGCAGCGTGGCTCCCTGCACACTGCCACCAGTGTCAATGTCAAGATTCAAAAGCTTTGACCCTTATTATGTCTTTTATAAATTTTAATAGTTGGTGTACATAGTATTACAATATAGGTTTATTAAAGATTAGAAGGTCAAAGCGTTTTCTTCCCAAACGGCTGGCTAGCTAATCATCTCCATGCTAACTCCACTCCACGCCCCCAGGCCGCTCTGTCACAGCGCTGCTCACGCCCACTGGTCCCACATGAGAAGTGGGGCCGTCATCCCAGCAACGGTCACAATGGTCTTGAATCACCTTGTCTGTCTATTGTTGCCCCGGTGACAGACTGTCTTAATTATCAGAGCTTTCTAAAATATTTTATATGTGGTACAACAAATCTTCTGTTTTTTCAAAAGTAAAATAATATATATACACCCAAACAGAAGGAAGGCAGGGATTAATAATCCTGTCATTTCCAGTCCACGTATTAGAAAAGACGTCAATATTTACTTGAGGTTTCTCGTGTAACTGAATAAAGTAAACTGCATAATGTTGCATCAGTCCATCCTGTGTGGTACTTATGCAGGCAGCCTCTGAGTTACAAATGGCCAACTTGTGTACAACCAGTTAACAACCAAGCCCTGCAAAGTCTATTCTATTAAAAATTCAAGAGTCGTGGCTCGTAACAACAAACCAGCGCCACTTTGCAGTACCATTATCATCACTGGGTTATTATACTAAAGATGTTTCGTGTGTCTGGCAGTGTCCCTTTACTGGCTTTTCTGCCAAATAAGACACATACATACCGAGAGGAGGGCACAGGCCAGGGCATGGTCCAGACCTGCTGTTCACAGGGTCACTGTGGGTCATACTCGATTCGACAGCACAATCACCTCGACATCAGCATCAACTAGGACAAACATTCAGCTGGGTGGCCTCACACAGGCACTGTGCCTAACTAGTGCTACTTCAGTACAAATGTGGCAGAGGGACAGGTCTAGGCCTGGAACCGATTCAGAATCGGGGGGTGACCTGGATGTGACCATAAGAAGTAGCAGCTGTGGCTTCTTACATATAGTCAAACTCTTTATGGGGTTTGGTTTCCTGGGCCTGAAGATTATGGACACGGTGTTATGGGGCACCCCGGTTCACGGACCTAAGGGCATGTTTGGCGGTGGTGGTGGTAGTGAGGTTAGGTACCATCACGTACGACTCATAGTGACTCTGTGAGCAACAGGTCTGAACCTGTCCTGTCCTGCGCCATCCTCACAATCTCGGACACCCTCAAGCCCATTGTCACAGTCACTGTGTCAGCTCACCTGGCTGAGGGCCTCTCCTTCGTCATCTCTCCACCTTCCCAACAATGACGAACCTCTCAAGGAATAAACTCTGCTAGCCACATGCCCACAGTATGAGAAGAAGCTTCATCAGCTTTGCCGCCAAGGAGCAACCTGGCTGTAGCCTCTCCACGACATATCTGTTCGTGCCCTTGACAACTGGCCAAGCGCTCATCTAAGACATAACAACTGTTCTCATTCCTACTGGCACAGCAGAGAAGGCAGCAAATCAGAAATAGTGTGAGGAAACGGAGTGTGTGGGTAGCTGCTTCCACGAACGACTTCGCCCTTTGCTGTAGGAGCAGAAGAACTGGATGTGGAACTACCCGGCTACCGCTGCTAAACACTTTGGTCAAAGAGTCAAGAAAAGAATCTTGATGAAAAAGGAGAAGATAATGGGACTCAATTTCAAATATTCATGGAATCAAAACTTTCTAAAGCCTGGATTAACCTCCAAAACTATTGTTCTAAAATAATCTCTAAATCTTGAGATTCTAACTGAAAATATGCCCTGAAGTCTTCTTAAAACCAAACAATTGCTGTTGTTTTTAGGTGCTGTCAAGCTGAGTACAACTTACAGTGACCCTACGAACAACCGATCTGAACCCTGTCCTGGCCTGGCCATCCTCACAATCTCTGACACGCTTAGACCCACTGCTGCAGTCACGGTGCCAGTTTACCTGGCCGAGGACCTTCCTTTTTCACCATCCTTCCACCTTTCCAAGCATGATGACCTTATCCAAAGACTATCTTCTCCTAGCAACATGCCAGAAGGGTGAGGCAAAGCTTAACAACTAGCTTAACAACTAGCTTAACAACTTTGCCTCCAAGGAGCATTCTGGCTGCACCTTCTCCAAGACATATTTTGTTCTTTTGGCCGTCCATGGGATGTTCCGCACTCTTCTCCAACACAGCTCAGTTTAATATGCAGAGAATGTCTGTACTGAGCACTGTGTTCTCTTCAGAACCACCTATATGGGACCAAACTGACAACAGCAATTCAACAGGTCAGTTAGAAAACTCAGGGGCAATATGTTTGGGCCAATGGGGGAGGACTACTCTGTAAATGGAGCACCAGGATGGCCGTACAATGTGCTGAACGCAATCAGCGTCAGCGTCATCTACTGTACCTGGAAACACTGTGGAGTTGGTGTGTGTTCTGCTATGCACATTCTCAATAACAAAATAGTAATAATAAACTTAAGAAAACAAAGTTGTGCTACCAACCCAAACGTGCAGGGTCTGAATCCACCAACTGCTCTGTAGAATCAAGATGAGCAATCTCGTCCCGTGAAATTTACTGCCTCTGAAAACCTGCTAAACAGCCATGAGCCAGTTCTGACTCAACCACACCCAACACCAAGTACGTCTGACATGTTTCTTACTAGAATTGGTCTGTGAATGGACCACTACTATTATTATCAATGCACCACGGTGACTACAGTTGTTGTTGATTGCCTTCAAGTCGAACACGACTCATAGCGACCCCGTGAACAACAGGCCTGAAGCACCTCTACAACCATCGACATTTATCAAAGTTCATGGAGTTTCCAGAGGCGTGTTGTTGAGGAAGTGGGTGCCAAGAAGTGGGCCATCTCAGAGTCTGAGGAGATGCAGAGAGACAGAAGTGAATTTTGTAACAATATCTAGACACAGCAGCCTTCCACAGTCTACTTGGCTCTGTCGACCCTTCAGACGGAGCTGAGGCTAGGAAAGCATTCTCACCTCTTGGCAAAAGGTCCTCTCAATTTCCTCAATGGAGTACTTTTTCCAGATATCTTCCGTTGCTTTTAAAATCGGCAAGGACTCCTTATTGGGAACGTTGGCTTGCTGATCCTCCCGTGAGATCTCTGAAAAGAGCAAAAGAGACTTTGGTAGGTGCCCAGCGGCATCGCCCGAGGTGCCTCACGGTGACGGTTCCTGCCAGCCATCGCATTTCTGGGGAAAGAGGAGAGCGGAATTCATCAAGAACGCTATCAACCATCCAATAGATTAACTAGATGGACATTTTGGAAATGAATCATCTACTTGTCACCTTGTTGTTGTTATTAGGTGCTGCCGAGTCAAATAAAACTCTTAGCGACCCTGGGAACAACAGCCCTGAAACCTGCCTGCCCTACAGACCTGAACCCTGCCCTCCCCTGTGCCGTCCTCACAATTTCTGACACACTCAAGCCCACTGCAGCAGTCACCGTGTCAACCCACCTGGTTGAGGCTCTTCCTGTCTTTCACGGACACTCCACCTTTGTAAGCATGATGTCCTTCTCCAAAGAACAGCCTCTCCTAGCAACATGGCCAAAGTATGTGAGATGAAGCTTTCTCATCTTTACCTCCAAGGAGAACTCTGACTGTACTTTCTTTAAGACACACCTGTTGGTTCTTTTGGCCATCCACGGGATGTCCAGTACTCTTTGCCAACACAACTCAAGGCATCAATTATTCTTCTATCATCCTTATTCATTGTCCAGTTCTCAGATGCATAGGAAATGACGGAAAAGACCATGGCCTGAATCAGGTGCACCTTAGTCCTCAAATAGACATTGTTGCTCCTCAGTAATCTGGAGAGGTCCCTTACTGAAGACTTCCCCAGTATAATACATCTCCTGATCTCCTGACTGCTGGTACCAAGTGTGTTTATTGTGAATTCAAGAAAGATGATGTCCCTGACCATTTCAATTTTTCCTCCACCACTGGGCCGAACGGCAGTATCATAATGGATGGTGAA